TCCATCCTCCACTCAACTGTCAAAGTGGTCTTCCTAAAGAACAAGTCTATACATGTCACACTACACCCTATTCGAGAAATTCCAGTGACTGCTAATTGCCTCCAGGAACAAATATAAAATGTTTGGATTATAAAGCTTTCTATAACCTGGGCCCTCCCTATATTTCCACTGTTCTTACTCCTTACATCCACTTCTATCCCACATATTCCATCATCCATGACGTGGGTCTCTTTGCTATTCCTTGAACATAATGCTCCACCTTCAGACTCCAAGAATTTTCACTGGCTATCCCTTGTGCCTGGCACTCACTCCCTTTTTTTCTTTCTCTCTTCTCATCATCCTAGCTTTCTTGGCTTTCTCCAAATCTCAGCTAAAATCCCACCTTCTACCAGAAGTCTTTTCCTGTCTTCCTTTTTGCTAACATCTTTCCTCTTTTGATTATTTCTAACTTATACTTATATCCACTTATCTCTTGATCTTGTTTATATATTGTCCCCGCCCCAGACTGTGTGCTCCTTGGGGGCAGGGAGTAGATTTTTTTTTTTTTTTTTGCCTTTCTTTGTATCCCCAGCATTTAGCACAGTGTAGGCACTTAGAAAATGTTGGTTGACTGCCTGACATTTTTTTTTTTTAACTTCCAGCTCTTTGGAAAGAGCCTCATATTTTTGCTTAGCTCAAAATACTCAGTGGTCCTTCTGTTTTCCTTTTGTTACCTTCTTCTCCCCTCCAGTCTCTTCATAGAGGTCAGAATTCCCTTCAGCCTCTTCACATCCTTTTCTTTCTGTGTGTTGACACTGAAACCCTTTCTTCCTTCTTAAGGAACTCTTCATTCTTCTTGATAATCTGTTGAGATAACATTATCCCAGACCTTCTATGGAAGAAGACACCTTAACAGTTTAAGCATAGATTGCAGTCACTTGGCCATAATGGAAAAACAAGTGTAAATCCATCCCTACACAACTCATTGCTCCCAGTTCTGTCATAGCAGAACTAATCTCCCTTCCGTAGGTCAGTCATCCAAATACTGAGAGACAGCTATTACGGCTACCCTAAATCTTCTTTTCCCCAGGCTAAACATCCCCAGCTTCTTCAATTGATCATCATATAGAATTTGAACAGTGCTTTGAAGAGTGGGTAGGCTTTTAAGAGACAGAAATGCAGTAGCAGGGCATAGAGAACAGTAGAAGTAAAGTTCAAAGGGAGAAAATTCAGGAGGTGTTGGGTTTGGGGAGAAAAGGGGGCAGGTGAGGATAATAGTCAATAGTCCAGTCTGGCTCTAGCATAAAATATGTGAAAAGGAACAGTATGTGATACAACTGAAAACTGTGAAAAAGGTGAAACTGTGGAAAGACTTGAATGCCAGTTTGATTGGACTTTATTCTCTGAGCAGTGAAGGTTGTTTTTGTTTTGTTTTGTTTTAATGAGAGAAGTGAGTTATAATCAGAGTTGGCCCAAGTGTGCAGGATGGACTAGAGAGGGGAAGAAGCCAGTTAGGAGGCTATTGCAGTAGTAAGGACACAAGAAGTAAGAAGGAACCTGAGTAAGGGTGGTGGCAATGGGAATTGAAAAGTGAGGATGGATGCAAAGGATAGGGCCTTTTTGCCCAGGTGACTGATTGGATGTTAGAGGGAAGAAAGAGGGCAGAGTTGAGGATGACTTAGAGGTTTTTCAACCTGAGTCACTCAGAAAATGTGACTCATTAGTAGACCTAAAGAATTCCAGAGGAGAATATGGTTTATAAGTGAAGATGATGAGTTTAATTTTGGGCAGAATGAGTTTTAGGTCCCAGGGGTCACCCAAATGGAGATTTTCAGTAAGCAGTTTGAAAAGGTAGGCCAGAGATGCAGATCTGGGGGTCATCTATATAGAGGAGACGTTTGAAGTCATGGGAGTTAATGAGATCTCAAAGAAATAATGTAGAGAGAAGAACAAGAGAGCTGAGAATGGAAACAGGGCCTTGAAGAACACCCACACACCCACACACACACACACACATTGTTGTTGTTGTTTGTCCTTCCTTCTCAAAGAGGACCATAACATCAGGAAGGTGATGCCATGACTTACAAGTGAATTGGATTTAAGTGAGGGACAGCTGTGCAGTCACCAGCCTCACTTTCTCCTCTGGATCCATCTGGACCCAGTGGCAAGATATAGATCAGGATGACTGGAGATGGCCCTAGAAGCAATGGGAAACCTTGGCCTTTTTAAGCTGAGGTCTTTCCCAGGTCTCAGTTTGTCTGAGGCAACACCCATTCAATGATTAAGGCTAGATAAGAAATGAGGCAAAAAAATGGCCTCTTTTACCTAGTAAAAAAAAAAATCAATCAATCTGGGAGGGGAACAACCTTAGGGTTTCTGGCCCAAACAGAAACAATTGCTATTTATGCTCATTCTGAGCCATCAGAACCCAAACAATGACCGAGTGAGGCTTGGTCTGGGATCTGTGGTTGACCACTCAATGAGAGCCTGAATGATTTGGTTTTAAGGCATGGTCCTTAAAAAAAGAAATCTAGCCCTCAAACCTCAAAATACCTTGTGAGGTTTCAGCAATCAGAATTTGTATTCTTTTGGGCAGAGCACCATGTGGTATGAGAAGAGGAAGAAGAACCGGAGAAGGAATTCAAATGATCTAAAACCTGAGATTTCGTGGAAATATTTGCTCTTTGCTCAAGTGCTCTAAACAAAAATAATTTATATATATATATATGTGTATACATACATACACACACACTTACACACATGTATAGCCCCCTTTGCTCCCCAGACCTCAGAATATAATTTGCATTGTGGTTGAGTTAATGTTACTGAGAGAATCTCAATTCCAGTATTTTTTGCTTTGGGCTGTTGTGTGTAATTTTGTAACGAAACTATTACACTGGTGTAATGATTTTTTTACAGTATTATGGTTAATAATACTCTTTTATAGAGCATTGTGCTAAGTGTTCATGTATGTCATTTCCTGAAGACTTAGTTTTTCAAGACAAAAACTGGACAGTGGTCAAAAGTTTCCTCTCATCATAGGCAACGAAGAGGAAAAATTTGAAAATACAATTTCTGGTTTGCTACCATTAAAGAGAACATCCTGCTAATTTTATAGGATCAATTTGTTAATTTTATTTTTTTTAAATGTTAAAGAGTTCTCAATGTAAGGAATGAATTAGCAATTGAATGCTTATCTTTATGAATCATGTATGTGTAATCTTGGCATATTTATTTAATGATATTTTGGATGAATAATTCATTGTAGGAACAATGTCTGACAGCAAAGTGACTTGTTCAGTGTTACAAAAATGTGAACACAACCAGTGTGTGTATTTACTGATTTGATGATTTACTGAGCTTTAAAGAGAAAGAATTTTTTTGTCCAGCAAAGTCACACCTTCTGTTTTAAACTGTACTTCTTTGTATCCGCATTGGGTAGTGCAATGCCTTGCATGTAATGGGTGCTTAATAAATGTCGGCTGGAATAGAACTGAATTCCATTGTATGCTGTATTAGGAATGATAATGAATAATCTTGTCTCAGTGAAAGCTGGATTCATAAAGTGGAATTATGGTGCTAACGGAGACAATATCAGAATGGACTTGTTAGGTAGTTCAGTCACAGTCATGGCTGTTTGCTGGTGCATTATAGGTTGTAAGTCACGTTATATGTTCCCACATATACCAACTGCAAAAGGGAAGAAAGGGGGAAGAGAATGAGCATTTATATAACACCTACTATGTGCCAGACACTGTGCTAAATGCTTTCCAAATATGATCTCATTTGATCCTCACAACCACCTTGCAATGTAGGTGTTGTTATTATCCTCATTTTACAGTATAGGGAACTAAGGCAAACAGTGCCTCAAAGAGTGACTTGCCCCAGGACAGAGAAACACTAGTAAGTATCCGAGGAAGGATTTGAATTCAGGTCTTCCTGACTCCAGGTCCAGGGTGCTATTCACTGTGCCACCTACCTGCCTTGCTGTGGAAAAGTCACATTTTTAAAAAAATATATTATTATTAATTCAGGTAACAATGAAAACACCTATTGTCCATAGTAGCAGTATCTTGGATAAATGTGTTATGTGAGGTAACAAAATTGCTCTCTCTGGTGACTATGTCACTAACAAAACACTCAGAGGCATAATACTGTGCGGAGACTTTCTTATGTCAATAAATGACACCCTATCCCTGGGAAACCCCAAGGAGGGGCCCTTGATTGGCGATGTAAATAAAGCCTGGCACCTCTCACACCCAGGAAGTAGGTGGGGTTAGCTCCTTCTGTTATTCTGTCTTTCCTTCCTTTTACTGAGATCTAGGAGCTATTTCAGGAAATTCAGACTCCTGGTATAGTATGAAAGGAGTTTTTCATACTCCTAATCTCATTGATTCAAACATGATTCAACTTATACAAGTGCACCATAATGCTGTTATGATGCACTAAGTAACTAAGGAATGAAATAGAAATATGCAGGAAAGGGGCCCTGTGCAAGTGTGACTAATGTATGCAGCCCTTTCCTCTTGGGATCCCAGGTCATCACAATTGTCGGTTACCAAAAGGGATGGTTAAGATCAGAATTGGCCCAAATAGCTGTCACTTTCCCCTACTTCCTGACATTATTTCAGCCGACTGAACTATTTCCATCCATGGTTATTTGAAATTTCATCTCATGCTAAACCCATTTTCCAATTCTCAATTCTCATTCTGGCTGAGTACTTAAAATGCAGGGTGTCCCAAAAGTCTTAGGGCAATTTAAAACAAGACTTTTGGGACACTGTGTATGTTTGGTAGCTGTAAGTATGTGACATAAGTGCAATTAATTATTTTTATGAAGAGGTACATGTGGTCTTTTGGGGGGTATATAATACATAATTCAGTCATTGAAGATCATTTATGTCTTTTGTTATGACATTAACACCGACAGGATCCATAATCTCAAATAGATTCCAAGTCTTAAATGTGTGAGCAAAAGTTGTAAATGATTGAGATCTAATGGCTGACGTTTTCCTTTATAGATATTGACAACAGTGGCTACGTGAGTGACTATGAGCTTCAGGACCTCTTTAAGGAAGCCAGGCTTCCCCTGCCTGGCTACAAGGTGCGAGAGATTGTGGAGAAGATTCTAGCGGTGGCTGACCACAACAAAGATGGCAAAATCAACTTTGAAGAGTTTGTATCAGTAAGTAATAAGAGGTTCTCCTGGGTGCTGAGGAGTTTGCTGTGAGCAGAGCGTCCTGGGATCTAACATGCTTGATGTTGATAAATCACATGGCAGAATGTAGACTTTCCCAGGAGATAGCACTGACGAGTATCTGCGTACAATCTATATTCCCAGGAAAGGTGGGTCTGTGGGATGCTGGAAGGTATTCTGGACCCAGAAGCCTGGAAGAGATCTGGGTTTAAATCCCACCTGATATTCGCTAGCTATGTGACCATGGGCAAATCACTTAAAACCCCTGAAGTTCAGCTTCCCCATCTCTGAAATAGAGATTGGCCCTAACTACTGCTTACCCCTTAGGGCTGTTACAAGGATTAAATGAGATGCAAGTCAAGCCTGAAAGTACTATCTAAATCTCGGTCAATCGACTATCAAATATTTATTAAGCAGCTGGGTGGTACAGTGGTTAAACCGCTGAGCCTGGAGTCAGTTAGACCTGGGTTCAAATTTGACCTTAGACGCATACTGGTTGTGTGGCCTTGGGCAAGTCACTTAACCTCTGTTTTCTTCAGTTTCCTCAACTGTAAAATGGGGATAATAGTAGCACTTCTCTCCCAGGGTTAATATGAAAATTCGATGAAATATTTGTCAAGCACTTAGGACGGTGCCTAGCACATAGCAAGAAATGCTTGTTTCCTCCTTCTCTCCTTTCCCTCCTTCCTTCTCTCCTTCCTTCCTTCCTTTTCTGTCTCCTTTTTCTGTCTCCTCCCTTTTTCTTTCCCTCCTTTCTTCTCTCCTTCCTTCATTTCTTTCTTCTTTCCTTCCTTCTCTCCTTCCTTCCTCCCTCCCTTCCTTTCTTCTCTCCTTCCTTCCTCTTCTCCCTCCTTCTTTCCTTCCTTTTCTTTCCCCTCTGTGCCAGTCACTGTGTTAAGTACACTAAGGATACAAAGACAAAAGTGAAATAGTTGCTGACTTCAAGAGCCATAATTCTATTGGGTGAGACAACATGTATTGCATACACAGGTACATACAAAATAGATCCCCAAGGATTTTTTCAGGGGAAAGGTACCAACAGCTGGAGAATTAGGAGAAGCTTCTAGCGGAACAGTGATCTCAAATTTTGCTGTCTCAGGACTTTACACTCAAAATTTATTAAGAACGCCCCCTCCTCCTTTGCACAAAGAGCTTTTGTTTATGTAGAATATAACACACGTACACCAATTTATTTACCACATTAGAAATTAAATTTTAGTTCTATTATGAAATAGGTTTTACCCTTGCACACCCCCTGAAAGGGTCCCAGTGACCCCTAGGATTCCCTAGATGAAATTTTGATAATTGCACTTGACCTGAGTGTTGAAGGAAACTGGGAATTCTAAGAGAAAGATGGGAAGAGGCAGTATATGCCAGGCATGGCAGACAAGTAGTACAAAGACATAGAGATGGGAAATTGAGTGCCATATATGAGGAAGAGTAAAAAATCCAGTTTAACTGTGTTTTATATGAAGGAAAGTAATATATAATAAAGTGGTGAAGCAGGTTGGGGTTAGGCTGTGAAGAACTTTAAATGCCAAGCAGAGGAGTTTGTATTTGTGTCTAGAGGTAATAGTGAGCCACTGGAGTTTGTTGAGAAGAGTGACATAGTCAGGTGTAAGCATAAAGAAAATCACTTTGGAGAGCAGGGTGAACTTTCTTGTTTTACAAGGACAATTTAAGCTCCTTGGATGCAAGAATTGATTTTTGCCTTTGTATCAGTAGTGATCAGCACAGTGACTTGCACATAGATCTTTAATAAGTGTTTAATTAAATAGAATTATCTATTCTACATCTTCACTTTTTGAGATGAAGACAGTGAGGTTCACTGAGATTAAATGACTTGCCCAAGGTCACATAGCTAGTAGGCAGAGATTTTATTTGAATCTGTGTCTTCTGATCCCAGATCCAGTGCTCATTTTAAATATAACAAGCCATAGGCGAATGGGTTTGACTTTGATTCCTGGCAGAATTCTAGAGTGTATCATTTAAAGGCTGGTTTGTAAGATTTAGAAAGGAAAGTGGTAATCATTAAGGGCCCGCAAGACTTCTTTAAGAAGAGGTCATGCCTACTAATTTCATTTCTTTTTTTGACAGGTTTACTAACAGTTCTAAATCAAGGAAATACTGCATATGCAGTAGCCTCAGATTTCAGCCAAACATTTGACAAAGTCTTCCTTGCTATCCTTGTGGACAAAATGGAGAAATATGGGATAGGTGATACTAAAGTGAGATTGATTTAGAAATGGTTAAATGACAAGACCCAAAGAGACTAGTCATTAATGGATTGTCAGTTTGGAGGACAGTCTCTAAGCAGACTATTCAAGGATCTGTGCTTAGTCTTGGGTTGTTTAATTTTTTTTTAATCAGTAACTCGAATGAAGACATAAATGTCATGTTTATTAAATATACTGACACAAAGTTGAGAGAGTTAGCCAATGTATTTGCATCAAATACCTTTTATAAGGGACTGACATCCAATATATTTAGAGAATTAACACAAATACATAAGACCAATGGTTATTCTCTAATGGATAAGTAGTTAGGAGATATGTATAAACTGTTTTCTTTTTCTTTTCTGTTTTTTTAACACACACTTCAAAAGAATTATAAACCACTAACAGCCACATAAAAAAAGATTTCTCCAGATCACTAACAAAAAAAAGAAATGCAAATCAAAACAACTACTACGAGGTTTCACTTTACAGCCAGCAAATTGGTAAAGATGACAAAAGATGGAAATAGTTTATATTGGAAAGGCTGCAGGAAGACAGGAATATTAGTATTTGGCCAGTGGAGCTTTGTATTTAATTGATTCAGTCATTCTACAAAGCCATTTGGAATTAGGCTAAAAAAAATTGGAAAAATATGAAGAAACATGTCCATATTCTTTGACGCAAAGGTCCCACTGCTATGCTTGTACTTAATCAGGCTAAAGACCAAAATATTCATAGCAACACTTTTTTTTAGTGGTAGCAAAGAATTGGAAACAAAGCAGATGCTAATCAATTAGAGAATGACTAGACAAGCTGCTGTATTAGAGTATAATGGAATATTATTGTAATACAAGAAATAAATTGGGAAAATTCAAAGAAGCATGGTAAGAGTTGTATGAACTGAGGCAGTGTGAAGTAAGAACTGAACAATCAATATAAAGTCTATGATATAAAAACCAAAATTGAACAGTATATAATGATAAAGATCAAGCTTAGCACTGAATGAAATTTGAGAGTATACGGTACCTCCTTCCTCTTCATTATAGAGAGGGGCAAATATTGCATATGCTTCTAGATACAGTGGACATATTACGTAGTTTTGCAAGACTACTCTTTTTCTTTTAAAGTCTTTGTTACAAAGGATAGCTTATTGGGTAAAGTATGCAGAGTCATTCATAAATGAATGTGATATTCAAAAGTGAAGGTATCAATAAAAATAAGATAATTAAAAAAATACATTGCCTTTCCTGAGCTTCTCTTTGTGACAAAATCTTCTAGTACTTACTTGGAAACCTGTGTCACTGAATTGTTATTTTTTGGCAAGACGTTAAGCTGCATTCCCCCCCCCCCCCCGACTTAATTGTATTTTTTTTCCCAATTACATGTAGATAGTTTCCAACATTCAGTTTTATAAGATTTTGAGTTCCAATTTTTTTCTCCTTCCTTCTCTCTCCTCCCCCCTCCCCAAGATGACAAGCAACCTGATATAGTTAGCTACATTTTTAAGATGTGTGTTCCATCCTTATATTTCCTTCCTTGAGTCCATATTCAATGGACTGGAATGTGACTTTCTACTTTAAAGAATCAAGTAAAATTACTCTTGTTTTCTGCAGAAAATTTTCTCATGATTCACTCTGAATGAAACTTCTTTTACGATCTATTCTAGTTAATGCAAGAATTAAAAAGCAAAGACATCAGCAAAACATTCAGAAAAATCATCAATAAGAGAGAAGGAATTACTGCCATCGGAGGAACCTCCGCCATCTCCAGTGAGGGGACACAGCATTCTTATGCAGGTAAAAACCTCAAAAAGGGAGTGATCATCCAAGAAGTTGCACCAGTAGCAATGTATTGACTGTCTACCTTGTAATAATTAGAACTGTGTTTAGTAATGAACAGAGGCCTGGTTTGCCCATCCAGTTTATAAGCTTTTCTTTCAGGCCTACTCAGAGAAAGGTAGAAAGGATAAAGGTAAGCACTTTTCAGGTTCAGCTGGAGCCAAGAGGTCTAAATGACAAAACGATTACCGACGAGAATATAGTCTATCTCATAGAATTAGCTCTTTCAATACTCTCCTATAGCAAATCCAAGGGCGCATCAGCCCATCAGATAAGTTGATTTAAAACCCCATGCAACCTGTCTCTAAAGGATCAAAGAGGTTACAACTGTATGTGTATGTGTATGTATATATATATATATATTTTTTTTTTTTAAATTTTTTAAAAATTTTTTGCCAAGTTACTTCCCCCCACCCCCAGTACAATATCCATACTGGGCTTCTTTTGTTGAGGGGAAATATCCCATTTTTTTCCCAGCTATTTGCTTAGTATGTGCTGTAAAAATGTAATTAACTTCAGATACTAGTATTAGAGAGAGGAAAACCAGCATCCTATAGTATAGATCCAGTGATGGGAATGTGAACTCTAACTCTGTTGTGAAATGATTTGCATATTGATAGTACTCAAAAGCTCCTGAATTTCCTGTTTTCATTAGTACATAGCTCACAAGATAACTCAGAAACATTTTTTTCCCCTGAATAAAAAACCTGGGGTCTAAATCTAAAATAGAAGCAAAATTTGGTTTACAATATGCAGAAAGCCTGAGTAGGTAATTCTGAGTATTGATAGCAGTGTGGTAGTTCAGAGCTGTATCATTTTCTATATACTCTGAATTCTAAAACTGTAACATTCTGGCTAATAAGTATTAAAAATGACCCTTTATGGGGCAGCTAGGTAGTACAGTGGATAGCGCTCTGGTGTTGGAGTCAGGAGGCCCTGAGTTCAAATTCAGACTCAGACCCTTGACACTTACTAGCTGTGTGACCATGGGCAAGTCACTTAACTCCAATTGCCTCACCAAAAAAAAAAAAAAGAGCAAGAAAATTATCCTTTATTTGATGATTTATTTCTATTTGACCTCACAATTGCAGATCTTTGAATTTTATTTATAAATCATGGAGTTTATTGATGGCTATATGTAAGGTTTTTTTGATCTCTTGATTTTTTGGCAGGGAATACAGTTTTGCTCTCTAAATTTCTTCTTTTTTTTCAATTATGTAAACCATTTCCAATTTCATCATTTTGTATAAAAAGACTTGAATATAAGAAATAAATGAAAGAAAGAAAATAAAAATAGCATGCTTCAGTCTGTATTCAAACTATATCAGTTCTTTCTCTGGAGGTGGATAGCATGCTTCATCATTAATCCTTTGGGATTGTCTTTGATCATTGTTGAAATCCTACTTCTAATTCTTTGTCCAACATCACAGGTAGTAATATTGGGAAAAGTAGTAACCCTGCCTAAATTAAATTAATTTAAATTGTTCTCATTAAAGGAATGTGCCTTACTTTCCCCTCAAACATGGAAGTAACTAAATTCATTCATAGAGACTCTTCAAAGCTTCAGTACATTTTCAAGAAAAAGCCATCTACCATTTTTAGACAGGTGTAAAAATGTTGAAATGTGTTTCTCTGTTGCTTGTGGTCATCCTTTATTCCTGTGGTTGTGGACCCATGACTTGGGAATTCTAGGGTAAAAACTTCCTTCATGGCTGCACATCAGCAGCTCATCTATAGCTCATGATGGAAGAGGTTGCATAAGCAGGTGACTTCTGAATAGCTATACTTACAACTTTCTGTTTTCCAGAGGAAGAAAAAGTGGCTTTTGTTAAGTGGATAAACAAAGCCCTGGAGAATGACCCTGACTGCAAGCATCTAATTCCTATGGATCCCACTGATAACAGTCTTTTCAAATCACTTGCAGACGGCATCCTTCTTTGGTAAGTTGAATATGGTTGGGTTTAAGGGCGTTAGACCTAGTGTGGATATTTATTTAGCAAAACTCTTAAGATGTAGGTCAGATGTTTATGGGTTTTAAATTTCTCTTGAATTACGAGTTTTTTATTGCTATTTATTTTAGCCTTTTGATTTCATCAGTTTGGGAAACTTTTGTAATAGCTAATATTTTTACAGCACTTAAAGGTTTACAAAGCACTTTACTAATATTATCTCGTTTTATCCTCACAAATTCCCTGGGAGGTAGGTGCTGTTATTATCCTCATTTTATAGATGAGGAACCTGAGGGAGACAGAGATTAAATGACTTG